AGTTCTATTCTTCCCAATCCATATCACTTGAGTTTTAGTCGTGTTGATCTTGAGATTGGACATATTTGCAAATTCATTAAGTATTGTAAGGGCACATTGTAAATCCTGCATTGAACCGTTGAGTGTCCAAAGGGTATCGTCTGCATATATTGCAACAGTTTAAGCGTTTTTCCATTCATATGCAATCCGCCCAAAGAATGTGAGTGTCGTATTAGGATCCCAAGTATCTATCTGACTGACAAAAAGAGGTAGAAAGACAAAGGATATCCCTGGCGACACCCTCGTCCTATTTCAAGTCTATCTGTACAATGTCCGTTAACTAATACACAAGAGCATGGGCGCCGGAAGTGGGGGGGGGGGGGGGGTCGGGGGCAGTTCCCCCCCCCCCCCCCCCCCCCCCCAACAAACAAAAAAAACCGCCTCCCCCCCCCCCCCCACAAAAAAAAAAAAAAAAAAAAGCAGTAAAGAAGTAAACATGGTTTGTATTTTTAACCCACAAAAACATAGCAATAATACAAACCTGAATTAAATCACATATACAATTCCATTCAAAGAAAAGGAAAGTTCACAGAAATTAAATTTCATAAACATTGCGCATGCCACCTATACGGTATTTATCAATGGAGGTCTTTATAATAGCGATACGTGGACATATCGTGCGAGAATGGGAAAGCGTGTCCGTTTTTTTTTTGTTATAGGGGTGAGAAGACATGAGCCCCTGAACGCTGGCGTACTGATGGGGGGTGTATTTCTCATTCGATACAAGTGATTTACAAATGTCGCTGTTGTGACATGATTTTCCGGTATTTTTTCTCCATTTTTTGGTAAGTCATACCTTTTTATGCGTTTGTTGGAAAAATAAGATATTCCCAAATTACAGTCGAGCGAAAAAAATACGCTTATTTAGAAGCCTTAATGTCATGGTCTGCAGAGTGGCTGGGCTCGAGCCCCCCCCCCCCCCCCCCACTCACTTTTTGAAAAAGTATGTTAAAGAGAAGAAAAAAAAAGAAAGACGGATAAGTGACCTGCCAATGTCACAAATAAGGTATACAAAATGCTCATCTGACCGTAATTAAATGCCTAAAAACCCCGAGCTTCCGGGGTTATGCCCCTTGACCCCACCAAGGGCCCTAAGGTGGGCCCTAGATGCTCATCTGACCGTAATTAAATACCTAAAATCCCTGAGCTTCCGGTGGCTCTGCCCCCTGGACCCCACCAAGGGCTCTAAGGCGGGCCCCTGGATGCTCATCTGACCGTAATTAAAGACCTAAAACCCCTGAGCGTCTGGGGCTCTGCCCCCTGAACCCCACTAGGTCCCTAAGGCAGGCCCCTGTATGCTCATCTAGCCGTAATTAAATACCTAAAACCCCTGAGCTTCCGGTGGCTCTGCCCCCTGGACCCCATCAAGGGATTTAAGGCGGGCCCCTGGATACTCATCTGACCGTAATTAAATACCTAAAACCCCTGAGCGTCCGGGGGCTTTACCCCCTGGAACCCACCAAGGTCCCTAAGGCGGGCCCCTGGATGCTCATCTGACCGTAATTACATGCCTAAAACCCCTGAGCTTCTGCCCCCTGGACCCCACCAAGGGCCCTAAGGCGGGCCCCTGGATGCGCATCTAACCGTAATTAAATACCTAAAACCTCTGAGCTTCCGGGGGCTCTGCCCCCTGGACCCCACCAAGGGCCCTAAGGCGGCCCCTGGATGCTCATCCGACCGTAGTTAAATATTAAAACCCCTGAGCTTCTGGGGCTCTCCCCTCCCTGGAACACGTCAATGGCCTTAAAGAGGGCCCCTGGATGCTCATTTAACCGTAAGTAAATGCCTAAAAAAAAAAGCTGAGCTTCCGGGGGCTTAGCCCCTTGACCCCCTGCCGAGGCTCATGACCTGGACCCCACGCCAATTTATGATCTACCTGATCGTTAATACTCCACTTTGAAAAACGTTCCGCGGGATCTGCATGTAACGTGGAAGACTGGTGGTGATGCAGATTTTTCGTCTGCCCCCACCCCCTTCCGAACGTTTTTTTTTTCATTACGTCACTGCCCCTGGAAGGTAAGCCCCCTGAAATGTTTGCCCCCCCCCCCCCAAATCCCAAACTGCTTCCGGCGCGCCTGTCCTTACACATACACTAATAAAGCGTCCCTGATTTAAATCAAAATATATTATACTCGCCTATCTGGTATTCAACTTCGACCATGAACTTTTGGCTGAATTCTGCGTGCCCCGATTGTTACAGACTACCAGATGATCGGTCAAGTCGTAAGTCGTACACCAGATCCCGATCCTCGTCTTTTTCGGAAGGTCGCTTTTCCTTCGATCGAATGGTTTCCCCAGGGCTGTATTTTTCCATAGCTGCTTGTAATTCCGCGATTCGAGCAGTTTTGCGAGTACTTCTTGTTCCTCCCCTTTTCCTGTAAATTTAGGTCTAATCAGACAATTTGCAGATTTAATGTTATTATCTGATGGCCTTATCTACGTAAACCTTAGAAAATATCGTGCCTAGTCGAATACAATAAACCTGCGGAATGACAGTCTCCCCGCACGGAGACTTCCAGGTAACCTTTGAAGTTTATGAGTAACATTCATGAGTGCTTTTCAGACGGTGTAAGAACTTTACTGTTGGAATAGAAAATGGAATAGCATTTCCTGTCCATTTTTATGGATTGGGAAGGGGGGACACTAATTTTCCTACATCATGTTGTGTGTGGGGACTTCGCAATCACCTTTAATATACCCCCCCCCCCCCCCCCCACCAGGCGCGGATCCAGGATTTCTTAGGGGAGGGGGCCCAACTTTCTTCATTTTTTTGTTGCTCCCGAAAATTGGAAAATCGCGCCGGCCGAAAAGTCGCTCAGTGGGGGGGGGGGGGGGGGGGGGGGGGGGGGGGGGGGGTAGTTAGCACAATTTTTTTTTTTTTTTTTTTTTTTTTGCTCCCGAAAATTTGAAAATCGCGCCGACCGAAAAGTCGCTCAGTGAGGGGGGGGGGGGGGGGGGGGGGGGGTAGTGAGCACATTTTTTTTTTTTTGGTCCTCGAAAATTTTTCAATTTGCACCCCCCCCCCCCTTGAGCGCCAGGGGGGGGGGGCCAACCCCCAAAAAGGGTAAAAATCACGTGATTTTACATGATTTTTTTCTCAAGGGGGGGGGGGTGGCCCGGGCCCCCGGGCCCCCCACCCGCCACTGCCCCCACCCCTTTCGGCCCCTCCGTAATTTCCTCCCTAAATCCGTGCGATTGAATTGGTGGCCGGGTCTTGTTGCCTATCCCCCACCCGACAGTAACATTTACATTATTTACATTATTTTAAACTCCAGTTCTGGTAAAAAAAGAAAGAAAATTAATTCTCACAGAATCAAACGAAACTTATACTGAATGTTCAAGATTACAAACAAAATACAAATGACATGGGCCTAACAATTTTGGAAGAAATGTATACTGGCTGAGTAATGAGCATAGAAAGACAAGGAAATCAAGGTAGTACTAGCCCCAACACATTTGTGTTGTCCCGTATATAGCTTTCTGTGTACAGTGCTTGGTACTTTACCAAGACTTGGTCAAATTTACTTGATTTTGATGACTCCAGAACCTTGCAGTGCACACCAATACTTACATGCTACATGATCAACTGTTTCTGATCCTTTCCACACCTTTCCTTTCACAATGCAATTGCATTACCAGTACTAAAGTTTATCTTCAATCTTCTAATTTCTTCTCTTGTTTACATTAGCTTACTCAGTTTCCAAAAAACATGTATACCTTTTTTTAAAACAGATAGTACTGAGAGCACAAGGCATGTACAATTATTCAACGCTGTGATTAATTTACATGAAGTCAAGTAGCTGTTACAAATTATATTCAGGAAGTGAGAAAAGTTGCGGTCTTGTCATTCTCTTTTCACTACCCCCCCCCCCTTTTTTTTTTGGTATTGTTTGATACTTTGTGACACTAACGTTTTAGCCTCCCCCTTGCTCTCTTATTTTGTTTGTTTAATAGTTAGGCTTTCAAAATATCACCCGCACCCTTTTTAATCATGCACATACTGCACAAAACAAGTATTAAATGCTGATTAACTAAATCAAGTCAAGTTATGTCATACTGCAAGTCGACCTTCAGAGCACCAATTCGACAAGACCTAAACAGTATCACTGTAATTGTACCATTCGACATTAATACTTGATCGCTGTTTGGGGGAGGGGGGGGGGGGCTTACCCACATTTCCATCCCGTTTGATTGACCGTAGGGGGAACATAATTGGGAATTTCCCGTAGCGTTATCGCGAAAGGCCGCCATCATAATAAGAGTGAAAACATGGAAAGGGTGGGATGATACTATAGTCTTACTAAGTTGACGGGTTACGAGGGGAGCAGAGAGTCTGAGAAGACCTGGTTATACATGTAGAGCGATTCATCATGTTATTTTCTTCTATCTTTCACTCTCTTCTACCATCCCCTTCTCTCTCTCTCTCTCTCTGTCGTTCCGTCTCTCTTTCACACATCCATAAATTACATGTAAAGTTATAAACCCACTGTCTTACTTTGACTCCCTCTTCCCTGGTAGAAAGTGCTGGGTGTGTAACTTGTCGTGATTGCTTATGTCATTTATTTGTGTACGATGTCAGAAGCTAGAAGCTACTTAGGGATATTTTCAGTTTACCGCTAGCGGGAGCTGTAACCTTTGCTGCAGTAACGTTAGATTGGACAGACATGATCCTAAGAATCACCGCTAATTTTAGTTCCTCGATAAACCCAATGTTGTAAGTGTACAATTACTAGTTATTAGTGAAAATAAATGTTTTACTTTCACATGTCAATCGCAAATATGTTGCAACTATTTATAACACAGGGCCCTAGAAATAAGAACAGATAGTCCATTCTATTATAGGAAATATTGTAAAATTTTATTGGTCAAATCTTTTTCCTCCTTACTAAGCACCATAAAAATAATTATATGTACCTTCATTTTGTAAAACAAACACACAATAAATGCACTTATGCTGATAATACTGTTATTAAGAATTCATTGGTTTGAACAATCTTAATTTTCATAGTGATAGTTTTAAAAAGTAATTCAATCGTAATTCACGAACAACTCTGAATTCTTTAAGGCTGGAAATTGTTCAAGAACTGATACAGAAAAAAGGCCGATTTGGTGAAAGTCCGTCACAACGAAGTAAGTTTTACAAACCAATCACATTGAAGCTTGTATGACATTGTCCAGATGAAAAGCTCACCCCAATTGGTTTTAAGTAGTCCATAGCTTTTTTCGCTGTTTGGTTGCCACATTACAGATGGAATTCCACGATGTTTCCAATTATGTATATGTTTTATAGCACTCCAGTTATATGAAAGTCAAAACATACATAAAGGCAGTTGGAATTCACTTTTGCATATAAATATGAATCTGATAATATAGTTCATACCGAATCTGAAATTCTGAATGTTATTTGTTGAAGGAAAAATAGGCACCATTCATTCTCTCGCTTCCTTGTCATCGTAATATCGATATCAGAGTCTGAAATACACCTGTACGTAAATATCTTAGATTCATACTTCAAACTTCTTTCGTTTCTCTTTCATCCATTTCTTTGAACGCCGTCTCCTCCGTAGCACCGTACTTGTGATGCGCATGCTCTGTCGGGTTCGTGACAACTTTCCTGACCCGGAAGTAGCGATGCCCTCTGATGTGGGTACCGCGTTGCATTCTGGGTGCCGCCTGTTTTCTGGAATTTGAAAGTCTGGTTTATAAGCGACGTAAGCGGTAACGGCAGCAAACGCGATGAGGCAAAGACCAAAGGCATTGGCGAGGTGACCCGAAGGCACGATTTGATTGTAGTTCTCTCTGAAATAAGAAATAGGATTGAAACAGACTTTTAAGATTTCACACACATCGATGCTCAACGTATCATCAGATCGGCTCTCTTTATCTTAATATTCTGACTGGTAGGGCCCTACACGTCGATTATCAATGAAGATATTACTGTAACCAAATAAAAAGTCTCTTCTTATTTTCAGTTTTAGACATTGGAAACTGATAGATATATTGATATCGGTGCTACGCATATAAGTCACAAATAATTATCTTTCTAAATTCGAACGGGATAACCGTTTCAATTTTTAACATTACGAACGTTAAGTGTTACCAACAAATTCTTGTCAGTAAATTTCTATAAGTGATTGTAATGGCAGAAAAACAGAGAGAAAGTAGATGTACATAATTCTAACGATACGTCAATACAGGCCATCGCACACCTTCAAGCATTCTAGTCACAGAAAACCCCAGGGGCGGATCTAGGAGGGTGGTTCGGCGGTTTAAACCCTCCTCCCCCTTGGGCGGTCAAGTGAGAAACAAAGGGGAAAAGAAGGAGAAAAAAGAAAGAAAAAAAGGTAAAGCAGTAAAACGGCGCGATTTTTGGAAAATCCTGGATCCGCCATTGGGTCACCCCCCCCTCCCCCCTTGGCAAAAAGCTAGATCTGCCCCTGAACCCAAATCATCTCAGAGTCCAGAGGTTGGGATCATGCGACTGATATTGTGTTACTATTACTGGCTATCGTTTGGGCTTCCTTTACGGCTGGCACAGGCGCGGATCCAGGATTTCTTAGGGGAGGGGGCCCAACTTTTTTTTTTTTTTTGCTCCCGAAAATTTGAAAATCGCGCCGGCCGAATAGTCGCTCAGTGGGGGGGGGGGGGGGGGGGGGGGGGGGGGGGTAAGCGGACATTTTTTTTTTTTTTTTTGGAGTCCCAAAAAAATCGCAACGACTCAGACAGCCGAAAAGTCGCTCAGTGGGGGGGGGGGGGGGGGGGGGGGGTAGTGAGCACAATTTTTTTTTTGGTCCTCGAAAATTTTAAAATTTGCCCCCCCCCCCCTTGAGTGCGGGGGGGGGGGGGGCCAACCCCTCAAAAAGGTAAAAATCGCGTGAGTTTGCATGATTTTTTTCTCAAGGGGGGGGGGGGGCCGGGCCCCCTGGGCCCCCCCCCCCCCCTGGATCCGCCACTGGGCTGGCAAAGCAGCTCATAAACCCTGCAATGTTAACGTCAGCAACAGATTATATCGACAATAAACTTTTTACACTTTCTTACAAAATCCAAAACGTAGCACGGTCTCAATATCTGCCGATGCTTCAAACCAAACTAATGACATTGACTGTAGTCAGTACTACATGTTAAAATGACAAGCTTATTCTTGAAATAATCACCATCATTTTCCCATTTTCGATTGAAATATGTGAAAAACTTTCAAAGAACTTACACGAAGAATATAGCCATTTCGTTGACTCCTGTTAAACAAGAGCATATTGACATGGCGAATATTAGAATACCAAAGAAAGCATGGTTGGGGAGCAGCAAATCTTGCCATGAGCGATCGAGCTTGCGTAAGGCGACAGTCATCACAATCCCATATATCCACTGAAAAGATATGTACAAATAGAAACAGTGCTATGTTATACATATGTCTGAAGCACTGGCGTACCTATGGGGGGGGGGGCAGGGGGGGCAGAGTGCCCCCCCTGACGGGCTCCTGGGGAAAAAAAGAAAAGGGGAAAGAAAAGAAAAGAAAGGAAAGGAAAGAAAAAGAAAAACGGAAAAGAGAAAGAAAAAAGGAAAGAAAGAGAAAAAAGGAAAGAAAGAGAAAAAAGGAAAAAAAGGAAAGAAAAAAGAAAGAAGAAGAGAAAAGGAAGAAAAAGGGAAAATAAAAGGAAAGGAATCAAAATGGGGAAATTAAAAAAAAAAAAAAACCATGGCCGTACGCACCAGGGGGGGGGGGGGGCAGTTGATCCCAGATATTTTGAAAACGTACAGTTTTTTTCTGAAAATGTAGTGCAGGCCTATACCAAATCCTTCAATTCTACTATTGAAAATGCAAAAGTACCCTCATGACCAGTTCGGTCGCTCAAACTCCCTTCACTCCTTTTGCTTTTGAGATTCTTCGAAAACTTTTAACGCATCTTTCCCCCCCCCCACCAGAAAAATATTCCGCATACGGCCTGAAAAATTAAAAAAAATGAAAATAGGAAAATATAAGTGATATAACAAATTCGAAACTCTTCGCTGGCGCGAACTGCTTGCTAGCCTATTTTGTATTAAATGTTTTCACTTGCTCGTCCCCCTGAAAAAAGAAAAAGATTAGTATTGCCTAGAATACAATTGTGCCTGCCCCGACGGGCCCCGACCTGCAACCTTGGCAACAATAACATACAATATATGTACCAAATGTTACTAAGAATTTCCGTTTCGGTTTAATAAAATTTGGAGTGGACTATTAGGCTATTATTATTTATTATTATTATTATTAAAAGAGACTAATTCATTTTTCTCGCTCGCTACACTCGCTCGCGAATAAAAATGAATAGACATTGCTTGGAAACAATTGTGCCCACCCTTGACCTGCAACAATATCATTAAAAATGGAAGAGTTTTTTCGCCCTCTCGCCAAAAAGGAATTGAATCGCGTTAAAACGCGATTGCGTCCATCCTGACCTGCACCAATAAAAAACAAGTTTATTTATTAATTTCTATTAAAAGATAATTTATTTTTTGCTTGCTCGCTATGCTCGCTCGCCAAAATGGAATTGACACCGCTGACGTGCCCGCCCCAACCTGCAACAACCAGTTAATAATTATGTACCAAACGTTATTCAAAGAAGTTTTGGTGTGCTCGTGCTCGCCAAAAAGGAATTAACATCACCTTACATGATTGTGTAAGCCCTGCCCTGCAACAAAAAAATCAGAAATTCATGAACCAATTATCATTACAAAAATTTTGCTCGCTCGCTACGCTCGCTCGCCAAAATAGAAATAACACCGCTTTTAATAATCACGTCCCTGACATGGAACAATGAACCCAAGTTTTATATACCATATTTTCCCTATAAAAGAGAAGTGATTTTTTTTTGCTCGCTCGCTACGCTCGCTCGCCAAAATAGAAATAACACTGCTTTTAATAATTACGTCCCTGACATGAAACAATGAATCCAAGTTTTATGTAACATATTTCCCTATAAAAGAGAAGTGATTTTTTTTTCGCTCGCTACGCTCGCTAGCTCGTGGAATTATGTGCCCACCACTAACCTGCTACAATATCATTAAAAAGATAAATGTAGGGGGTTGCCTGCCCGCCAAAATGGGATTGACATTGCCTTAAACATGATTGTGCCCGCCCCCTACCTGCAACAATGAAACAAATTTATATAGCAATTCATTGAGAGAAAGATGTATTTTTGCTTGCTAGCTAAAATGGGTATAAAATCACCCTAAACAATATTGTTCCCGCGCCCTGCATGGGACAATTGAACCAAGTTTAAGTGACAATTATTAAAAAAGAAGTGATTTTTCTCTTGCTCGCTACACTCGTTTGCAAAAAAATGAAAGTAACGTCGCTAACAAGTGAATGTTCCCACCCCCAACTTGCAACAATACCAGTTTATATACCAAACGTTACTTAAAGATTTTTTTTTGCTCGCTCGCTCGCCAGAAGTGAAAATTAGCATCACCTTTTTGTTTGTTTCGGTCGCTTGCCCCCCTGACGGAGTACCCCAGTACTCTGAAGCGTTGGGGAAAAGCATCCGAGATGGATGACTGATACGTTTTCTCAAACCATTTCAAGACGAGACTCGATCCCACATACTTCAAAGTGTACAAAGTCATCGAAAATATACAAAAAAAAATAAAAAAGTAATCATTCGTTACAGTTACGGATGTAGTATGTATAAAGTCAACCAAAATCATTATTCAGCAATTCACGGATTAACGAATAAGGAGCGTAATAAAGAAAAATATAATAATGTTAAACCCACATGGAACCCGATTTGAACGTGGGTCTTGAGTTCCGAACTCATCTTATCAACAATAGACAGCGCTATGAAACTTCTGTGATCTTTTAAATCTACAGATCAATACCGCCGTCAACATTCTAGTAAAAAAAAAACAATGGTAATTCTTATAACAACAACAAAAACAAAAACATACAGCTAATTACACATACACTCTTGATATTCCAGTTTGATATAACAAAACGTTGATCTAAAACCAGACGCCTTTTCATTGAAACCCAATAAAAGGAATCAAACATCCATGTTTTTCCTTGTTCGTGATTAAAATCAGTCTTATCAGAGTAATGTTTGGTATGAAATTTGAGGGCAAGAATTTAATAGGCTTTTTTCGTAATGTAACCAATTTGTTTGCATACATCTTTGTAAAGTGCCTCGATACAAACTATTTCATTCACCTGATATAAATAATGGTATTTCAATAGACCAAATCCGAACAGCATATACTAGTTTGTTGCCAGGTAGGACAAACAATATGGCTTGCCCTACCTAGCAACGCTGATATGCAGTTTGCATTCTGACATTTAGAATACTATTAGTCTTATCAGGTTAATGAAATAATTTGTATTGAGGCACTTCACAAAGACTTATGTATCGGATTTGATTACATTACGAAAAATGGCCAATTCAAATTGAATATTATATGGCTAACAATGCAAGTATTTTAGCTCGTATCACACCTTTTCCACTGTATCTACAATTTAGAAAATAACATACCTGGCCAAAGAAGACAATAATTGTTGCTAGTCCCAACCAGCTGTGTAATGAATACAGGTCTTTTCCGCCTTTTCTGGGCCCTGTGTGTCTTTGCAGACGAACGCAGCATGCACACCGATACCAACTAAAACGACGACGATTGATTGTATCGTTGCGTGGATCGCTTTCTCAGCCGTGTAGGAGAGACCGAGTCTGTGTGTCACTCGAAATGAGATCATTGCTGTAAAAGAAGAAAAAAAGAGAATCTATATCATTAAATATAGCTATCATAATTCTATAGATTTCCTCATAATTCATCCAAAATGTGCCTCATATTTACTGAAATTGAAAGCATATTTGGGTCTCACTTTGATTATTTCTAAGAAGCTATAAAACCACGAATTTTCCTTATTCTTAATTAAACTGATATTAACTGATGTATATACTAATGATATAAAATTGAAGTATGGTACTCAGATATTATTATTTTAATATGATAATGATCACATATTATTCCTTTTTCTTGTTCTTGTTATATTGTGTGCTTTTTGTCTCTTTTTTTCTTTATTTCATTCTCTATTCTTGTATTTGGTATCGTATTTGTATTGTATTTGTTAATCTTCTTATTCATAGAACCCTACCTCTTGTCACTAAAGGAGGAAACGTTTTTCTTTTTCTTGGAGAAGACCCGAGTATTTTCGATGTAACATCTTTTATTTCTTTACCTGATTGACTCATATATCACGATGTTTAATATAGGCCTATAATTTGTTTTAATATATCTCTTTTTTTTACAAATGAAAAGTATATCTTTCAAAAATATACTTTCATTGAGCGTGCTTTTAATTATGTTACTAAACCATGAACCCTACCATATTTTAACTGAACAAATGTGAAACTCAATAGTAACACTCAACCTTTTATTACGTAATAGTGGAAGTATACCTCTGTTTCGCTAGCTCTAGTTGATGACTTAACATCCGCTATCTTTAAGAGGTGGTTAGGAGAGGCCTGCAAGTGGAGTTCATCGGTTATTTATTTATATAAACGTCTCAAAGTTTGGATCGTAATTTTTGAAATATTTCTGGTCCGCCTGGCAAATACAAATTAGGAATCCTTCTCCAGACATCCAAACAATTACACACCGCAGATATGATGAGGAAGACTATCATTACAGCATACAAATGGTCTTAAATTTCTTCAAGATTGTGTAATGATAAAGTGTAGAAAATGGATCTATATAATTCGGATTGGATAGTCTCGCAATGGGCGATCGCCACGATATCGTAAACTGTGCCCCTCTTAAAGATTACTTTGTCCCTTTGGCAGCCAACATCAAATCTGTAAAAACTTCGCTGGAATTAAGATATGTCATGTAAATGTATGTCCCATTTGTGAAATGTAAACGTTAGCAGTGTCCTAGTATTCAAATTATGCAAGAAAATAATGGCAACTAATGGTCATTATTTTCCCACAAAAAGAAGTTTTCAAACACTTTCGTTTTGAGGGAAGTACTAAATAAGTATTGTCTTCCAAATGCCGTTGGAATTTAACCTTTTCATATTTTTGACCTGCAAATGGGACATAGTACCTTTAAAACTTTGCGCCCTATATTGCAGGGTACTGTCGACCTGGAGGTCACTGGAACATTTTGATATGGGAGGGGGGGGGGTATTAATGGGGAAAAGATGATCTATATAACTGCGGATTGGATAGTCTGACAATGGGTGATCGCCACGATATTTTACTTTATACATTGTGCCCCTCCCCTCTTAAAACTAAGCGGCTTCATATTGCAGGGTACTGCCGATCTGAAAGTCGCTGGAATATTTTGATATGGGGGGTACCGACGGGAAAGAGATCTGCAAGAGAAAGTAACCGGATCGTCATATTTTGAAATCTCCCAGAACGGTTTTAATCATCCTGAAAATTGCAATTTCACCGACACTGTTTTAGTGGGGCGTTATATTCCATCCTAACCGAAATTAAACAGCAGGAAATGTTGGTTATCGCTGTAATCCATCAGTTGGCACTATATGAATATACACGCATGCATGCAATAATTTGAAAGGGGAAGTCCACCCAGATATTAAGATGGTTTTAATGAAAACAGAGAGAAAATTGAGAGGAACAAATTAGTGAAAGATTGAGTAATATCCCATTAAAAATATGAATATTACGAATTTTTTAAAGTTGTCATCAGTAAAACACAAATTGGCAACACTGTGACGTATCTTTTGAGCTCCTCTCCGGTTCGCTCAGGGCAAACAAAATAATGCATAAACTGTCATTTTCTTAGATATTGATGACGGAAAATATTTGTCTCAATATCATACAGCGGCTGTATAAAACCATATTTGCAATTATTATAATCAGGGTGAATGAATGGTTGAAACTTGTAATTTGTTGACGTTTTTTTTTTTAGTACAGGGCAAATGGGAGGGGACCTCGCAAGATACGTCACAGAGTTGCCCATTTGTGTTTGATCAATCGCACCTTCAAAAACTCATAAATATTTTATTCTTAATCGGTTTTCGCTCAGAATTTCACAGACATGTTTCTCTCATTTGCTTCTAATAAAACCAACTTAATATCCCGGTGGACTTTCCCTTTAAGCTATCATATTCAATTCAATGCAATTCGTTTAAATTATGGGATCGTGGAGTGTGGATTCTCGAGTCTAATATCATACACTTTGCTTCTTTGAGAAAATAATTTTGCATCCTACTTTGAATCTTTAAAAAAATACTACCAAGCGACCAGGCGCGTACGCAGGGGGGGGGGGGGGGGGTGTTTGGGGGAGGGGGGTTAACCCCCCCCCCCCTTTGGTTTTGTTTTTTTTTTTTTTTTTTAATAAAAAAAAATTATTCCCATGGCTGGCCTAAAAAAAAAACCTTACCCCCCCCCCCCAACGGAGCAAAATGTCAAATTTTCAAATTTCGAGACCAAAAAAAAAAAAGTGCCCTCTTACCCCCCCCCCCCCCCCCCCCCCCCCGCTTATTCAGCGGCTGGCTGAGTCGAGTGCGAAATTATCGGCCCGATTCGAAAATGTTAACCCCCCCCCCCCCCCCCCCCCCCTTAAAAAAATCCTGCGTACGCGCCTGCAAGCGACTGATCCTGAATGATTCTTTATAAAGACAAAACCGCGAAGCATATCATCCCCTCGCCGGGTACAAATGGCCTATATTTAACAATTTTTGAATATTTAATGAGTTGTGACCTTTGACATACAAACTCAAGAACATTAATTACATTATTGAGTGAAAACCACATTTTTGCGTATATATAATTAGGTATTTTAGGCTGTATTTCGATACCATGTAACTTCATATCAAATTCCATTAAAATCCGTCAAGCATTACCAAAGTTATCGTACGGAAACCACATTTTTGGATCCATATTTAGCTATTTTTGCATATATATGTAATGAGCTACGGCCTTTGACCTTTGACAATATACTCCAAAATCGACATTAGGCTGAGTTTTTATACCATGCCATGTACCCTCATATCAATTTCATTAAAATCCCTCAAATATTACTCGAACACAAACTAAATTTTCGAATAATTACATTTTTTCGCTTTTTTTATTCAAAAAAAGTAAGCTTCATGCATTCTGTGATCATTTTCGGGTTATATTTCGGGGTTGCAGAAGAAGTCAAACAAAACTGCATACTTCATCATGAATAATGAAGGGGGGGGGGGTTAACCCTAGAACCACCAAGTAAGTTTACCTTCCGCATAGAGAAAAACCATGCCGATCGTTAGCAGAAGGTAATGGTAGCTGCCAACTCCGTTTCCACAGTCCCAGTCATAGCCTCCGCCGTATTCTGATAACCATGTTGCTAACAGGATCACACTGACGACTCCAAGGACTTGAGAGAGGAGCACAAGCGTCCAGAAGAGCGCTTCCATGGCGATAGAAACTGTCTTCTAACTATACATGAACTCTGGATGAAACAATTTGTAAACAGGATTAAACAAACTTCATTATTGATCTATGTATTCTACATTCAAACATGATCGATGATGATGAATCCAAATCTGATCAAAGACGTTTAATATTTTGCTTTGGAGGGAGATACTCTCGGAGAGTCGCATCTTGACAACAAAATTATGGAAACAATTATTGTTAATTATCTTGGTGTTAAAATTCAAAAGATAACTTTGTCATGAAAGGTCATGCAATCAGTCAAAATGCAACTTTGTCAATCCTTCTGTGTCACTTAAATTCAAATTTCAAATAGAAAGAAGTTCCTTGCTCGTATCAATTATTGGAACTATAATTGTATACAGTTACACAGATGTCAACTTTTCCTCTCATTTTATCAAAGGGGTTTGGGGATCGTTGAGGAAAAGATTCTTTAAGTTCCGTTTGTTAAGGTACAATGTACGCCGTACGATATCATTAGTCACTGAAATTGCGAGTATATTTATGTAAAGTTACACCTTATTATTTCAAGTGCTCTTGCTTTCTAACATTATGTATCTGCCTTTTTCTCGACATGTCATCCCTTTGCCTGATTGTCTCTCTCCCTCTCTTCTTTTTCTTCCTCTTTTTCTTCCTCCTCTTCCATTTCCCTTCTATTTGGATCGTGCCGAGTTTGCATGGTCAAGACACATTAGCTTCTCATGAAGGGCCAATATGACAGATCTACATGTAATTCTATAATAGTGTTTCAAACAATCATCTGTTATTTTTTCGTTCTATTGTGCCATAAAGCAGGCACTAGCCCGTCCCATTCATCTACTTTTCTCCTTTAATTTTATACAGACCTCGGGCCTATGGTTGACACAAAACAAATCAATAAAATGAAGAGAAAAGAAAACAACCATGTTATCGATATCACTCACTCTTTGGTTATTTGCCAATCGCCATGTGCTTCTAACTCAAATCCATATTACACTAAAAGACACATTTCAAGATTTGCAATGCTTTATTTTCAAACAATATCTGAATCTTGTGTTGATATATTGTGTTATCACTGTTCCACAATAGGCTAAAATGTAATGTTTTACTTTAAATGTAGTTTAACTTCACAAACCTGCAAGTTGTTACATGCAGCTAGCCTTTGGTTATACTTACAAATTTTATTTATTTTTTCTTCCAAACTTTAAAATGTTTTTGCTACATTGAAAGAAAACACAAATTATATGAAAAGTCGAGAATGTACTTTAACTTCACATACCTGCGAGTTGTTACATACAGCTAGCCTTTATTATATTTAAAAAAAAATCTTCCAAACTTTTGCTACATTGAAAGAAAAAACAAATTAAATGAAAAGTCTACGAAATTGAATCTTTTTTTCTGTCTCTGCAGTGTAAATACCCCCCCCCCCCCCCCCAAATATCCTTCGTTCCGTTACGTACTAAAGGAATTCGGGGGTGCTGGTAAGTGCTATCAAATAGTTGTTATGAAATGAACTAGGCATACTTATTTGAGCTGAGGTTACTCACGAATTTAAGACTCCCGCATGAGTTGAAGATCTCAGGAATCTACAGATCCAGATGGACGAAATATAGACAGGTCGATTTCTTCAAAAAGTTCTCAATGTAGCACACACAATTACGTATACAGTGATAATTTGACAGACGTAATCCCAAATAATATCCACGGATTAGATTCGTCCATTATCCAGTCAATAGAACTCTAACAATTTGCCCAATCTGATCTCACTATTCGTAGGAAACAGTCTCTGAAATCGCTCAAACAGCACTGGAGAAAGAATAATTCAGGAATTATAGCAGTCGCTTGAATTGAAAGCCCGATCCTACACGGCCTTCCGACCTCCCGGAGCTCCCGTGATCCCGATCTTGCGTGAGTTTCCTCCCGGCAGTCTCGGCGGAGTTGTACGTGACAAATTCCCAGTCCGCAGCAAGCCTTATCTCTGCAGGATTCACTGAACAAACGATCAAATTTCACTGCCCTGATAGCTGTAGCACTCCTAAATCAAAGTTCATGTCAAGAAAAAAATGTTGTATGTTCCCTCCTCTATCAGAATGTATAGTGTTGGCCAATTCTAAACGTGATTTAGTCACGATTCTATACATCTGTCTGTACGATGGTTTACACACAACTTACAATATTGACAGTTACACCTGTAGCTGCTTCGTGTGTGCGTTGTGCATGCACTGTGTGTACATGTGAAAGTGTGCGTAAGAGTTTTGTACCAAATGAAAGTATCGCATTCATTCACCCGTGTACCGCAAGTCGCTCCTAATCGCCTGTTCTTCGGATTATGAGTCATTTTAGCCCCCATAATTTGGCCCATTGTATTGAGTGACGTCATTGTTTGGCTTTCACTTTCACTTTTGTTGCTCCATGAAAGTTGTGAGAGGGCAAAGTTCCCCGTCTCGACAAGTTTTAGAGATACAAAACGTGTTAAAATAAAGATTTCCTTCGTATAATGGTCAAAGATAGGGCAACGATAGGTTTCTTTCGTCTGTTTGAACTCCAAATCGTGATAAAAAAAATTGACTTTGATATCTAAATGATGAGCAGTTTCTTCTTATTAAATATTATTTCATCTTTATGAAATGTTTAGTCATCCTTATAGTGAATACTACCGCGGTATAGGTAATAAAGGTATATGCCTATCGTAATAATTTGGAAAAATAGCTCCACCTTTAGGTTATGATGGGAAGCAATTGCTTCCCATCATAACCTAAAGGTGGAGCTATTTTTCCAAATTATTACGATTAAACTTGTATGGATGTCGACGTTATGGAATGTTCTTTGAAATGATTTATATATTATATAGTATTCATAGGAGTTATTCGTACTATCCTAGAACAGAATTATTGAAAGTCAACTTTCAACAGTATTTTCTCCTGTTTCACGGCTAAACATTGAACAGTTTTCTTAAATGATATTTTCTCTTTTGTATAACATTCATGAACAGATCAAAACGATTCAAATGCATTTATCAGGAGTCGAGGAAGAATCCCTTCATCGCTCTCTCGCTCTCTCTCTCTCTCTCTCTCTCTCTATCTCTCTCGCTACCTCTCCGTCTCCGTCTCTCTCTCTCTCTCTTTCTATCTATCTCTATTACCCTCCCCCCCCCCTCTCTCTCTCTCTCTCTCTCCATCTCCCTCTACCCCGCCCTTGTCCCTCCAACCCGCTCTGCCCTCTTCTTCATTTTCTTCTTTTCTTCTTCTTCTTCTTCTTCTTCTTCTTCTTCTTCTTCTTCTTCTTCCCTTCTCTCTCTCTCTGTCTCTTTCTCCTTTATCCTTTTCGCTCTTTCTCTTATCCCTTTTTACCCTCTCTATATCTGAAGTGATAAAGAATATAAATTTTAAATCCCATAGCCTCTCGTTTACGTGACTGACTCAGTACGCTAGTGTATGTTCAGTACCACACGGATTTAGGATTATTTCAAACTTCAGGACATTTTAAATAAAAGGACATAATAACATACATTTTCACTTTACACTGATTTCCTTTTATTTATGAGTATCAAACATTTCCAGTCACTATTAAAATAAGAAGGCCCTATCTTACGTAAAGTTTGTGACTTGTGTCAATTCCGTCTTATACTTACTATTATTCCTACTTCCCTACCGATAACATTATAGAAAATTTTATTTTATTTCCCAGGAAGCCTAATTTGTGTCGATCATAAATACGTACATAAACAGAAAGGCCAATTTCAGTATATAGTTATCAATGCTCATGAGAGAAGGGCCCTTTGTTATAATATACAAATGCGATGACAAAACAAATATTGTGGGCCTTTCCGTAGAGCAGAGATCGTGTTTGAATCAACTTCAATATAATTTTGGATATTTTTGATATTTTACTTCGGGTACACCACATAACGATCTTAGGAATAACGAGGCCTCTGAATGAGCTTCACCCTCAACTATACTACTACCACACTTACTGGCGTATACGGTTACGGGGGGGGGGGGGGGGGTAGGTGCTTCAGGCCCCATCGAAGGCAAATATGGGGGGGGGGGCAAACAAAACTGGGGAAACGAAAGGGATGGGAATGATGGATCGTGAATGAAAGACGTGTCACACTGTGTCACGTAACAAATGCCAGAGGTAAAAATGCGGAATGTTTTACCTTTGGCATTTCTACCTCATACATTTCTACTTGTGGTATTTTTACCTTTAACGTTTTTACTTCTGGCAGTAGTTCCCTTTAACATTTTTATTTCTGACATTTTTATCTCTAAAACTTTAATTCTGGTGTTTTTACCTCTGACATTTTTACACCAAACCCTCCCACACATTCTTCCTTTTCTTTCTCTGTCCGTAAATGTCATGCATCTTGTAAGATTGCGAGCCCCCCCCCCCCCTCAATCATCATTTCTGATTATGTGAAACAAATATTGGATACTTCAAAGTACTCACATCCACAAGGCGAGGTGCTAATGGAGTTGAAAAGGTGCACACTTTGCCTTAATTTGATGATCGCAAAATTATTATCATTCCCACTCGTATTATCATTGCTACAATTTTAGTATTCTTGCTAATAACAACATTTTGCCCTTCTTCAACCGTTGAAATATATCGTTGCTAATAATTACGATATGAGTAGATATCAATAAAATATAGTTGCTAAAAATAGTGATATGAATATACACTAAGTAAATATATCTTTGCAAATACGTATGATATGAAACGACATACATTGAATTCCAGTGGCGCTTGATACAAAAGTTTGTTCAGCTCTTTACATGACTTTTTTTCAAAAACATACAAAAGTGGCGAATCTTGAAGAAAACAGAAACAAGATAAATGCTTAGATTATCCCGTATCAAAACAATTAACCCCTGGACAATCACCCCCGGAAATTACCCCCAGAAAATTACCCCACAAGGAAAATAACCCCATGAATATTACCCCCATCCCTAAAAATACCCCCCCCCCCACCAAGGACACGGAAGAACAATTACCCCGAGGATGATTACCCAAACCCTAAAACTTACATCCTAGGGCAACCAAGGAAATCCACCCGAGCACAAGTAACCCGCCCCCTCCCCCTGAAAATCACCCCTCCTCTCGAAAATCACCCCTTCCCCTGTTCTTTAAAGGGGAATCCTACCATGATTATAAGTTGATTTTTGATAAAGCATAATTTTGTTGGGGGGGGGGGGGGTAATCGTCGGCGCGGGGTGATATTGTCCTAGGGGGTAATATGTCCAGGGGGTAATTGGCCTCGGGGCTGGTTGTCCTTTGGGGTTATTTCCAGGGAGGGGGGGGGGGAGGTAATTGTCCTTGGGGGTATTTTTCCGGGGGTTAATTTTCCAGGGGTTGATTCCCTCTCTCTGTGTCTCTCTCCCTCTCTCCGTATATACATTTTTTGTCTCTACTTTATGTTTCTGCTTCCAACTTTTTTTTTTGGGGGGGGGGGCTGGATTTACCCGTGTTTTGTTTAACCCTTTGTAGTGCAATAGGTGAGGCGGGTTCTTATGCAATACACGCTTCGTTTTTGTATTAATTGCTGTGTATTTTTTGTAGTGTAATCCATGAAATAGGCAACAATGAAACCTTGATTATTTTTATAATACGCAAACTTAATTTGCATTTATCACATTTATTTTTTACTCTATATTTGCCCTATCTACGTTTGGCATCAGCAGTATCTCTTCGATTGTATAAATATTATATACCTTTAAGTATTTGTTAGAGAATTAGACTTTTAATAGACCTAGTCAGTAATACAATATCATGATCTTTTGACAAATCATCGTCAGTTTGATTTGAATCATCAGTGACAAAGGTTAATTAAAGTTTAATATTTCTTGAATAATAGCAGTACTCATTAACAAATTGTGAAAAAGTATCAATATCAAATAAATTCACAATCATATCCACTTTTCTTTAACAGATGTTAATAGGCATACAAGCAATAAATATGTGATTTACCTTTAACCATTGCAACAGTACGCAATCAATATAATGGGAGAAGTTTATATGTTAAAACACCTTGCATATCAAACACAATAGATCCATCAATTGATCCATTCTGTAAAAAAAAAATGTATGAGAAATTATATATATACAGATCTTAGCGATGAAGAGAAATTTGTAAGCAATAAGAAACTTAAGAATGAAAATATAATCGATCACTTCTGTAAGTATATTAAAACAATCAAAAATACCTGAGGGGAATTTTAAGATCCCACCCATTTTTTTTAGAACATCAATATCGAAATTGTCATTCCCATTTGTTTTGTATCTTTATTGTCAAACATAGACTGGTACGTATCATATAATTATTTGTTATAATATAATTTACCACTGCATATATAGCTACAATGTTTATGGTTAATTTGTGATTACTCGGGAAACTATACCACTTGCTGATTTTCTTGTTTATATAATTGTTTTATATATGTATTATGAAACAAAATGTTCATGTATATGATTGAAGTTTAATAATAAAATCCAAAATTCATACATACTGTGTAGATATTTTTTGCCTAAGTAGGGGACCTTTTTAACATTAAAATCTTTTAAATCTTTAGAACATTAATCATGCACAAATAACACAAAAGGTAAGTACAACATCAAATTTAACTTACACTTGTTATTAAAAATTTAAATGAACTTTTATCTTTTCGTTTGTTATTGTACACTTTCCTTTCTGCTAGATTGTTATTCTATGCCTTTTCTGATCTCTCTTTCAAATACAGAATATCCTTGTATCTTTCTCCAATTTTGTTGCGTTGTAAAATATCTTTATGTACACTCCCGAATGTTGTGGTCTATATCCAGTAAGTGCTGAGTTGTATATATATTTATATAATACGTTGACTATTTAGCAGAGTAGATACATTATGTA